TAAAATTAGTAAAATAGAGTCTTTCGAAATACCAGATGTCGGTTTCAACGATGAAAATGTAGTAAAATCTGTATTGAACCTGAACAGCGACTATTTAAGCGAGCCTACGGGTAACAAGCGAACTAATGTACGAGGGGCGGATATTAGGTTTCAATATAATCCTTACAAGCATATGACACCAGGCGTTATTGATGTTTCTCTTCCTAAACTTCGTCAAGCTCTAGATGTTGATGGGTACCCATATTACAAAACAGATGACTTTCCAGTTTATCCTATTATACCTACTAAAAAGCAAATAAAAGCTATTTTAAGTGAAAATCCTAACGCTGGTAAAAAATTTGAACGTATCAGAATGGAAGAATACAAACACAAATTAGCTAACAAAACTGTGCCATCGACTGTGTTAAACTGGATTAAATTCGTTTTTGGAATTGCGCCTGAACCACTTAAAGGCTCAGAAAAAGAATGGAAAAAACGAAAGGAAATGGAAGCTAGACGCAAAGGAAGACGATCGAGCAAGTCTAAGTTTGCTAAAAATCTTGAGCACACTATGACCGAACATCAGAAAGATCAACTTGAGATACTTTTCAACAAAATTGCTATAAACGAAACAATTACTGCTGAGCAAGCTGTCACTTTCGCAAGACTCTGTGGATATGTTTTGTGTCAATACGAGATTAACAAGATGATGCAAATTCCAGCATGGAACTTTAAAAATTTCTGCAAGTTTTTAGATTCCATGTCACATTATGAAGACTCGGATATCAACGCATTTTATGATATATTTAAGTCAAAAACTTACGAGCGAAAGCACCCATCAAAGATTTCTGACTTCACTTTTAAAACAATTTTCGGTTGCTTCGGTGAAAAACTTGACAATGAAACCCTTGACAAATTAATCAACGTAACGTCTTGTAAAACAAATGACAAAATCAACTTTACTATTTTTGTTGATAATCTGCTAGCATTGAACTCGGAACCTAACATCCAAGGTTTCATCACTCTTGGAATCAACGCTAAAGAAGCTCTACAACTTTCAAACATTTACGAAGTTTGCACTAAACGAGTCAAAGAATTCAACGCAAGTTGAATTTTTATTGATGTTGTGCATATTATTTATCGCGAAAATTACTTTTTTTCATAAATTTTATTATAGATTGGTTACCGTCTGTATTTCTACGTTTTTATCCAGACTTTTATTTTCAAACACCCACTTAAGCAGGTTTTTTTAAGATCAATTGAATACATGTTACTTTTCCGTCGTCAGATGTAACTATAATGTGTTCGTCTGTTGCGCTCCAAGATATGCTTGTAATAACTGCAGTTTGATCAATAATTGAATTTGGCGTGCATGTCAAGCAAATTGCGGACACTTCTGAATCATTATTACTCGTAAGTAGTAGCCATATGCTTAACATGCCATTTACACATGCCATTGCGAACAAAGTGTAGCTGCTTTGTAAAGAAGAGTTTTGAATTTTATTATTGTATTTTTCCAAGTATTCAACGAATGTAAGTTTTTTTAGTTCTTGTATTTCATTTTGCTTTAACAAATTTTCAGCTGACTGTGTCAAAATTTTGGTCACATCTATCAGGTTTTTATAACGACAATTTGAAAATGCTACGGCACAAATGGATGATTGGTGGCCGCGAAATCTGTACGGATCAACTTCACAATCCAGATCGAGCAAAAGTGCGAAGTGCTGTTGTTTACGACACGCAAACGGAAATGCAACGTAGCGACTGCAACAAGAAAAACTGGGTTGTTTGTCTAATGGTGTGTCTGTCAGGTTTTCCTTGAAAAATTTATTAGGAATCGTATTAATTAATGTGTAACTAATGTTGTTTTCTGACGAGATTTTCGCGTCAACACCTTGTTTAACTATAAGTTCATAAACTGCACTGTAATAAGTATTTGTTGTTATTGCTAAACGGTAGTATTTGCAAACCAGACTTGTTGCTGGATTTTTTACATTTGCACAAGAATAAATTGATGGCGCCTCTTTACAACTTATGCTGCGCACATAACCATCTGTGTCTATTAGAATTAGTTGCATCAATTTCAAATTTTCGGTCGAGTAAATTCCAAAATTCTTTATTGACGACAGTAAAACGTATTCATCGCCTATAAAACATCCATCAAAAAACTCATTTCCTATAAAACTAGCAATTGTTTCCTCAGTTTCGACGTTTAATATTGAAATTACCGAGCTGTCGCCCACTAATAAAAATTTGCCGCTTTCACTCCAGCTTACAAAGTTGATGGTGGTTGGTGAATGAAACGTATATTTGTGCTTAGTCTTTACTTTCAATGGGGTGTCGCAACTTTTACCGTGAAGCCAGCGGTATATGCCGTCAACTGCGCTATCATAACTGTCCGGATCTGGGTTTAGCTGTGAAGCTGCTACTGAAGTACTTAGCAGTTCGCAAATAGAAACTATAGATCCTCCAGCCAAACAAAACACGTTAGACTTTATTGGGTGAAAAGCAACGGCGTTAAATGGAACCCTGAACTGATTTTTGCGAGTTGAAATACCGTGGGAGATATCAAACTTGCCCCATTTTAATTTTAAAAAATTCTCTTCCTCCATTCTTTTGTTGCGGCATGCGAGCTTCGCTCAAGTGACTTAAAACCCGATTTAACTAAAAATGAATGTTTGTAATCTATTATCTAGTTTCGTTGAAAAGAAATTTTCTTGTTTATCTCTTAAAACATTTACTTAGTATTTTCTATTTTATTATCTCGTAGCTATATTTGATTTTTCGTTATGACATTTTTATTAATAATTTATAAATCTGAGCTATTTTCAGCTGACGTTCGCGAAAATAAATATTAACTTTTTTAAATTACTCCTTCTTGATTGTTAATAACGGGTTACTGAATGTTTTAGCTATTTGATCAATATGGATCTATTGTATAGATAGTGGCCAAAAACGATATTTTAAAAATATAAGAAAAAATATAAATTAAATAATTTATTCACATTGTGTAAAAGTTTGTCTTGGGTCAGTGATTGACTCTTCGTATTGTGGTTTTTGTTTGTTTAAAGGAGGAAAATTTTCTTTAGTTTTGTCTGGATGATACGCCGTATCATCAGAATTAGACAATATGTCAATTGGAGCAAAACTGCTTTTTCTGTAACTTAGTTTTGCCGATTCAATTGATTTTTTTTCCACCCCGTTGTCAAGGTATTTATCTGAATCAATTGAAATAAATTTTTGAGTTATGCTATGAGAAATTGGCTCGGTCGATTGCTCGAAAGTTTTAAAGTCGTTATTATAAGGTTTCTTTTGGTCTTCGTAAGCATCGTTAGTTGCAGTATTTTTTAATTTATTATTAATAAGATTGAACCGTCGTAGTATATTTTTGACTGAAAAAAAATTGGATGGATTATTAGATTCTGATTCAATTTCTTTTCGGGTTTTTGATATGTATTCAATGTTTATTTCACGTATATCTTTTAGATGTGAAGTAACAAATAAGCTATTTCTATATTCATCTTCGCTAAAATCCTCGTTATTATTAAACAAAAATAACTTAGAGACTTTTCTTAGTATGTTATTTTTGTACTGTTTACGATAACAATCTGCAAACGAATATTTTTTTTTGAAATTTTCTGAACTGAAACAAGACATTAACTTGTTACGCTCAAGAATATTAGAATATTTTATGTGATGAATACAAGTGTTAGTAATGAAGTTAGCAAAATCTAATTGTGATGAAGCTAAATATTCATCAATTAAAAGTTCAGCTTCCAAAAATTTTATTAATCGGCCGCATTCGTATGCCTCAACTAACGATTTAGTTCGATCTACGTTGTACTCTCGGAGTAATGATGATTTTGCATTTTTCAAAGGTTTATAATAACATGAATGACAATTCGGTTCACTTACACAACAAAAACAACATAAATGTCCGTGTTTTAATGGCTTAGTTCGAAGTTCATTAGGCAAAATTTGCTGAGCTTGAAACCAGGTATTAATACATGTCATTGGATTTTGAAAACAGTCTACTTTAACAGGCTTACCGTTAATCAAAAAAGTATCTAAATTCCCCTCATTGTTTGAGTTATCTGTAGGTGTAACTTTTTTTTTTTCGAAAGCATCTTTGATTCTTGAATAAATTTTTTTAGATTTTTTAGAACCGTATAAAACTTCTTCTGGAAATAAACTAGTGAAGCTTTTTTCTTCAAAATTCAACGTTGGTTGCTTTCTTTTTTTTCGTATTGTTTCTAACACGTAACTAGGAGTTTTCATCAAAAGATTAGTTAGGCTTTGTAATTTTTCTGAAAACTCTAAATACTGGTCGACCTTTTGTATCTCGTTCTTGCTATTTAGCTCAATAGTAGGTACTTGGTGAAGCATGCTGCGTAATTCTAGTACGTATTCCAAATCACTGTTTGTTAATTTAAGATAGTTTATCATGAAATACTCACAAATATCTTTTAGTGTAACTGCATGATGAAGGTCTTTCGTCAAATTCGCTCTATAGCTTGCCATGGCTTGAAAATCATGTTTTGTTAAAGCTTCAATATAAAACAGCTTAATTGAATGAGCGTGATCAATTACAGCGTTATACCTATAATATTATCAAACGTTCACATGACAAATTTCTATGTAAGAGCTTATAAACATACCATTGGTAAATTTCACGAATAATTACGCTATTTGGATCAAATAATGTAATCATATCATTTCCCGTTCGTTTATTAATCATAGTAAAGAATCATCAAACTTATTCAATAACTAAAATTTATTAACGTTGAAAAACAATTTGCGCTGCGAAGAAATAATCAAACAAACCCAACTAATTTTTTCAGTTTAAAAGAATTCACGGGAATTTCTTTATACGCGCCATGAAGTGAAGCGTAACGACACGAAAAACAAATAGCGTACTGAAGAAACAGCTAAAAACTCAAAAAACTTTAGAATTATTTTTTCAAGTAGTTTTAGATGTGCTAAAATTTGTCCTATAAAGATAATGCTACAGAAAATTTAATTTAACAGTTGAGTAACTTAAACTTAGGACCGAATAAGGTTCTAATATCTGAGACATTATGCATAATCATAGTTGGTCGTTCTACACTAAGACCCCATCCAAGTACAACTAAATCTGCCGGAAGCCCGTATGTTTGAAGCATTTCTGGTCTGAATACTCCGCTGTTGCCTACTTCAGTCCAAGTTTTCAATATTGGATGATAACCGTAAATCTCCATAGACGGTTCGGTGTATGGATTGTAAGCAGGTTTGAATCTGATGTTTTCAATTCCGATACTGTGGTAGAATGTTTTGAGAATAGACATTAATTCTGACAGGTTCGCTTTTTTAGATACCACGACGCCTTCGATTTGATGGAACTCGGCTAAATGAGTTGCGTCCAACGTCTCGTTTCTGAAAACACGGTCTATAGAAAAGAACTTATGCTCGAGATTGCATGTCGGGTCTTCCTTGTATTTAACTGCCAATTTTCTTAATTCTCTAGAAGTGATTGCAGTTGTGTGAGGCCTTAAGATCAGTTTTGATGCTTCTTCTAAACTCCAAGGAGAGTTCCAACCTAGACTTCCGTAGTTTCCAAATTCATGGACTTTTTTAACATCGTTTAAATATTCATTTGAACATAACTTAGAGTAGTCGGTGTTCTTGAACTTGTCAAGCTCGATAAGTTCTTTTTCAGTCATAGTGTACTTAGGATTTTTTAAGAAAAATGTGTCTTGAGCATCTCTAGCCGGGTGAGTCTGTGGTTGAAATAACGTGTCAAAGTTCCAGAAACTACTCTCAACCCATCGCTGGGTGTTCATTTCTTTGAATCCCATTGAAATTAAAACATTTTTAAAAAATTTTATCATGTTGACTAAGGGATGACTCATACCTACGTTTGGAAACACTCCCATGGCTTTGAAGTTGTAGTCCTTTAAATTGTAGTTTTTCCAAGATCGATCTAACAACATATCTTTATTAATATCAGTTATTTCTGGCTGAATGTTAATGTCAAAAGTCTCATGGAACATGACCCAGAACACGGTTTTTTTAGTCTTTTTAATCCAGTTGCGGCGTGACAAATATTTAATAGACTCTTCATCAGGGTTTTCGACGCTCAGAACGTTCAATAATATAGATTTAGATTGGTCAGAACATATATCTTGATTTGCTATTTTTAGTGAGTCTGCTTCTTTCTTGATCCATTTTAGCCTCAGAGCTTCACCTATTCCTTTTTTTAACAAACTGTTGGAACTGAAATCAGAGATTTTTGGGTTTTCAGAATTCTTAATTAAATTATAAACAGTAAATTCGGCAGAACCGTTTTCTATAACCGCGTTACCTTCGTTGGAAGCTGTAATCTCGAGGCTGGTAGTCGATTTAAGAAAAAATTTTTTTTTAGATTCTAATGATTTCAAAATACCAATAGTAACATCATCACTATAAACTAATTGTTGAAGTGGTGACTTACGAAATTCCCAACGATTCGCTAATTAATTTGCTTGAAACAGTATTTTTGGATGAATCATTAAATTCATCTAATAAAAAAGCGAGAATACGTTCTTGGTTTTTATTACTGGACATTGTTATACAAGAACTTCATTATTAAAATTTATTTGTATTTTTGAAAAATGATAAGTAAATTTTTTTAAGTTGTTAAAATAAAAATATGCAAAAAAACGAGACTAGCTCAAACTGCTATCTCTCAAAACCTTGTCCGATTTATTATTTATGAGTGTTTTTATTGCGTGGAAACAAAAGTGTTTGACAATTTATATCTGGTGCACTGTCGTTCATGTTCGTTCATAAAATATGAGTAGAGTCGACAAACATATGTCTGTTATTCAAAAAGAAATCACTAAAAAGAGCGGCCATAAACTTTTTATGAATCTGGATTCTAAATGGCTTTTTCTAGTGCTCGTCATGATTCTAATTTTCATTCTTGCTAGAATATTTTTTTGTCGTTCAACTGAAGTTGACGACTATCAAGAATTAAAAGAAAAAGTCAAAGTAGAACGAAAAAATTCGAAACTACTTTACTATTAAACAAAAATGTCGCTGGAAGATGTGATTTGACTGCTTGTGGACTCGTCTTGCTCATCCACATCAATGCAAGCAGTTTGTTCGAGCGATTTGTTGGGATCCAAAGAGATGTTTTGTGCTTGAGCCTCTGCTGAACTGTTTACCATTTTATCGATAAATTCAACTATGGTCCTGTAACGAGTGGATTTACGATTAATTTTACTTATATTAGGTTGTGTCTGCGACAGCTGCATCGAATGGTCTGTGAAAAATTCTGTAACTAATTTGTTAGCGTGCAGCGTATTTTGGCTTTTTGATATAAGTGGACTGTTAATTTTGGGTGACTTATCGTCTGCGTCGGTAGGATCGACTTCTGTGTGATTTATAAAGTTTGCTGGAAACGGGTTTTCAGCGGACAGAAAGTTATTAAGTTTGATATTATTTTCGTACCTATTTTGTTCTAAAACAAGGCTTTTTAGTTTCGATTCTGGGCTAGCTTCTCCTTCTTCAGCATTCCAAGAGAAGTTTTTATATAGCACATGTAAGTCTAATTGTATACCAAATAAGTTCTCTACATCGTATGTTCTAATTAATTTGTTTTTCCATTTCAGCAACGCTTTTGTGGTTAGCCCAATGATATCTGAATTACGTATAGATATCTTTTCAAACCCGCTAATCTTATAAAAATCGGCGACTTTCAACAGATCATCAGGATTTCTATGTTCAGCAACCCCTAGTTTAATATAGAAAGTCAAGGTAAAACTTGTGATAATATAATATTCTACTTTTTGCAAACGATTGATGAGCAGTTCTACAATATTTGCAATCAATGCTTCCGTAGCTTCATCGTCTGTAATTTGAACCCCCCAAAAAATTTTAGAGAACGTAAGTTTAGGCAATGAATAACCGTGTAAATTTGCGTTATCGAGTATGCCGTAACTAGCATTTGATATTAGTTTGAGTCTCAAGTCTTTCTGGATGAGCTTTTTTAATCTCAGTGAACTATCCCGGAAGTCGTTTAAGGTTTTAATTTCAAAAGTATCTAGTAAATTTAAAATATCTTGGGGTAAAAAAAAACAATAATCAAATTTAATATTCTTTAATTTGTTAGTACAGTTTAATTTCATGCTTTGGTCTACAAACTTTTTGATTGTATTGGGGGAAGGACAAAAATTGTCCTCATTAATGAACAAACTTTTAAACAAGGCAGCACTATAAAGTGTTTGTTCACAATCGCAACCGACTCCAATAGGAATTAAAATGTTAAAGGTTGCTTGAACAGCGTCAATGAATTTGACGATAATATCTGAAATTATCTGATCATTTTCTTCGTCCAAAATCAAGTAAAGACAATCAAAAGTTGTGCACACAATTTCATGAGTTAGAGAAATTATTATTTTCCAAAACATATTGAACATATCGCTCAATTCAGCTAAAGGAGCTTTGATAGCCACCAAGTCAGGATTTATTTGTTGCGCTTGTTCTAGTTGCATACCAAGGTGAATTTTATTCTTTTGCGCTGCGCTGTTAGCGCTGACTACCAATCTTGTAACATCCTCAAACTCTTGAAAAATTACGATTGAAATTTCTTTATTGGCGTAATCGGCAGGGTTTGTTCGCTGAGCAACATATTCAAACAAATTGTTGTAATTTATTAAAAAAAGTTTTTTTCTCGGGGTTCTGTTCAACTCCAACAATACTAAATCACTGATACACAGCTGCGACTGATAATAGCAAGATCGGTATTTTAGTAACCTGTCCACTTGCTTATTCACCAGATTTTCCGATGAAAAATTCAGAATTTTAAAAAAAAAAGTAAAAAAATATTTTGTGAGTGAATTTTCAATTGAACTGGAGAAAGTTTGATTTGTTTGCGTATTCACGTGTTGGGGAAATTGAGAAAGTTTAGGAGAGAGGAGTTGTTGCGGTGACTGATGATGGCACAAAAAGGTGTCAGTCATTTTGTCATCAGGCTGTTGATTTACAGAAGTAACTGGACAGAATTCAGCTTTTGCCTCGAAGGGTATTTCAATTGTGTTTGATTCCAGCGGTGTGAACAAATACTCATCAACCGGCAAAAGCGACTGAGTTAAAACACAATCGAGCAACCATTTTGTGTCTACGACCGGAACAAGTAGGTTGTGTGATAATAACGCGTCAATCCAGTGTTTTGAACTCCAATTGATTTTATCAAAAATAATTATGTTAGCTGAGTTAAAATTTGAATACTCATATAAACCAAAATTTTCACTGATTAAATTTATCAAATCAGTCTCGGGCAAAGACGGTTTTCCAAGTGTGAAAATAATTTTTTCACAAAATAGTTTTGATTTGCACATCCACTTGGTTTAATGTTTTTTTTTAAATGACAATGTAAAAATATTTTTCAATACATTTTTGTTAAGTTATTATATAACCACAACTAGCATATGACCCAAATAGACACGTGATATTTAAACCCGTATCAGTTAAAACCAAATCTGTGGTAATCTACTGTTCAATGCGAACATTAGCAACTTATTGTCGCGAGAAAAGTCAAAATGATAAGCTAGCTAATGGGATATCACAGTTTTATATTAATGTCGCAGTTGTCGCAGCTGAAGCGTCTAATTATGTCGAATTTATTTCAAATTTAAATAATAAAATCAAAGTACCAAAGCATATTTTCAATGAAAGAGATATTCATAATTTAATGAAGAAAAAAAATCCTAATTCGCGTCTTAAATTAATACGCTTAGTTTCACGATTTCTTTCACAAGCAACTATGTTTATTGTGCCTTATATTCAATCTGCATTGCTGGAAGGGGTACTTAATGCATCGATCTTGCTTTGCTTGGTGTTTTTATGTTATGTGTCGGTAAAATATTATGAAAGCAAAACCCCCGAACCTAAAAAACATGGAATAAAAAAAAATAAAGACAAGGATCTTTTAGTTTCTTATATAATAAGTAATAAATATTAAAAAAAAAATTCTTTAATTAACGAAAAAATATTTGCGTCATTAATTATATAAAAAAATTAAAATTCATCATAGCCTAAATATTAATTCAATTTTTGCCAGAAGAAATTCTTTTTTTTAAATTTTAAAATTTATATTAAATTTTTTAACTAAAGTATGACTTTAAAAAAAGATAATAAGAAGTTTGATGAAGATGATACGAAATCTTCTTTAATTGATTCGACACTAAATAAGCTGTGTGATCAGGGTTCTTTCACTGAAACCAACAACGAAAATGAAAAAACAAAAGAGACGACTGAACATTCGAAACGGTCAAGCCGCATAAACAAACTTTTGGCTTACTGTCAAGACATGGACAACTCAAAATACAACTCTAGACGGCCAAGCAATAAAATGTATACCAGTAAAAATAATTATCGTAGCAAATATCCTAATAGCTTTAAAAACTCAAGTAACGGCTCAAACTATAATAAATATAATCACAATGAGTCGCAACGTAGCACCCAATTTTACTCGCAACGACACGGTAGTTTCAAACAGAAGCAGACGTACACCCCGTCCAAAACTTGGATACGCAGAGACGGCAGGTACCCACCCTATGAAAACGAGCAAGAAATTTTTGCTAACGTAAGTGAAAAAGGGAAAGGCATTAACTTTGATTCCTACGATAAAATTGACGTCGAAATCAGCGGCGAAGGCAGTAAAAACATCATCCCCCTTGAAACATTGATGGCTATTTCTGACGAAACCATGGACGAAATTAAGAAAAACATTGAAAGAGTCGGATACGATAAACCAACACCAGTGCAAAAGTACGGTATCCCCATCCTTCTAGGTGGCCACGATTTAATGGCTTGTGCACAAACCGGTAGTGGTAAGACAGCTGCCTTTTTACTTCCCATAATCATCAAAATGACGAATTCTCCTCCTCCAGCTTCGTTCTATAACGGTCGATTTTTCGAAATCGCTGAGCCAGTTGCACTAATCATCTCGCCAACGAGAGAACTGACACTCCAAATTTCTCAGGAAGCCAAGAAGTTTGCCTTCAAAACAGGTTTGGCCGTAGTTGAAATATACGGAGGAAACGACGCGCGATCTCAAATTGATAAACTATCTCAGGGCTGTGATATTTGCATCGCTACTCCAGGACGTCTTATTGACTTGTTAAAACGAAAGAGAATCTCACTAGAAAACGTACAATTCCTAGTTCTCGACGAAGCAGACCGCATGCTTGATATGGGTTTCATTCCCCAAATAGCTGAAATCATTGAAGATTTTAATTTGCCAGAAAGTCGCCAAACTACTATGTTTAGCGCCACTTTCCCGCAAGAAATTCAGAAATTGGCAGCTGTATTTATGAGAAACTATTTGTATTTGACCGTTGGAAGAGTTGGAAGCGCATCTAGCCTGATCAAACAATCGTTTTTCTATGCCGAAGAAGACGAAAAACCTCAGCAACTATTAAACATACTCAAGGACCATCTTGGTAAAGTTTTAATATTTGTCGAAACCAAACGAAAAGCTGACTCGCTCGAATATTTCTTGCGCAAGAGTGGAATTTCTGCGCTCAGTATTCACGGTGATAAATGTCAGCTCCTGAGAAACGACGCACTACAAAAGTTTAAAAGTGGAATTGTAAAAGTGCTCGTAGCAACTGATGTTGCTTCCAGAGGACTTGACATTCACTCTATTACTTGGGTAATCAATCTCGATTTACCTCACAATATTGATGAATATGTACATCGTATTGGGCGAACAGGAAGGGCCGGCAAAAATGGGCTTGCCACTTCCTTTATCAATGAAGAAAATAAAAACATATTAAAGCCGTTGATAGCTCTGCTCAAAGAGACAAACCACGACGTCCCCCAGTGGTTGATTGAACTTGTTCAACATTGCACTAGCAACAGCTACTCAAAACATTATAATAATTCTAGATATCAAAAATCTTACTCTTCATCTAATAGATCGGTCTCCTCGAACTACCACAACAATAATAATAACAATTCAAAATCTTACGGCTACTATCAGCAAAACAATAGTTACAAATCACAAAACGTGCCAACAAACACTTACACCAAAAGTAAAGTGTCCTCTAGTTCTTATATGAATTCTACTAGACCTAACACCGGTTATGATTGTTGGTGAGTACAGCAGGAAATTGCTGTTATAAATAAATCACTTTTCATTTTTATGACGCTTTACACTAATTTTTTTAGTCCTAATTCATTATCCAGTCAATTATGTATAATGTATTTAAATTTTCTCGTTTTAATTCTATTTAAATTATTTTTTACTTTAGGAGTTGAAAAAACTTGATAAGGTAGCTAGACGTTCACTCCGTCTATTCATTCATGGGCCTGTTATGCCCTTTTTTTATTTAGCTAATGAATGAAGACACTTTAAACTTTGAAACTGTTAAACAAAATGTGGAAATCCTCAGAAAACTGTGGTATAAGGTATGAAAAAAATAAAATCATGTTTTTAGGCAAAAGTAGCACACAGAAGAAAAAAATTTATACTAATAACAAAAAAGTTAATAGATGAATCTTCAGAACTACTTCAAATAGCCGAAACGACGAGTGCTATAGAACTTGCACAACGCTTTAAACGTGTACAGCGGCTGATATTTAGAGCTTACGCAGAAATTTACTACTCATATATCGTATTTGGATATTTTGAATTAATCACTAAAAGCTTTACAGCAGCTTACTCTGTACTTTACGCTTGGAGTAAAAAGTATCTGAAAGATAATTATGATTGCAGTAAGATTGTCTCGTCAGTGCCAAAAAAGAATTTGAAAGAAGATCCACTTGATATTTTTTTAAATCAAGTAGTATAATGCAACTGGTTAGTTTAAAGTTAGCAAATTTTTTTCTTTCGATTTTTTATTGAAATTCGATTTAACAGTAAAATTACCGTTAAATATTTTTCTGACAATGTCCGTTCAGACTAAAACGACAACTACTATCAATACTTCATTGAAACAATTTGATAACGAATTGTTTCAATTAATAAAAAAAGAACAGCAACGACAGCAAAATGAAATTAACTTGATAGCTAGTGAAAACATAATACCGCGATATTGTTCAGATGCTTTACGGTCTCCTTTATCAAACAAATATTCTGAAGGCTTTGTAGGAAAACGATATTACGAAGGAAACAGGTTTATAGATCAAATAGAACAACTGGCCATCGATCGCTCGTTGAAGGCGTTTTCACTTGACAATAAAGACTGGGGTGTTGTTGTACAAAGTCTTTCGGGTACAATAGCAAACATAGCAGTTTACACAGCAATGCTTAAACCTGGTGATAAAATTTTATACATGGCGTTGTCTCATGGAGGACATTTAAGTCACGGTTACAGACGCAAAAACAACAATCTAACACTCGCAAGCCAGCATTATAATTCCATGCCGTATTATGTGGATAAAGAAACTGAAGAAATAGATTATGAAAAACTCGAACGTAAAGCTCTGGAATACAAGCCTAATATAATAATTGCGGGAGCCTCTGCATATCCAAAACTGATTGATTATAAAAGATTTAGATCTATTTGTGATAAGATTGGTGCGATTCTGTTAGTAGATATGGCTCACATCGCTGGTCTAATTGCAGCTCGGCTTATTCCATCTCCCTTTCCATACGCTGACATCGTCACAACTACTACACATAAAACGTTACGTGGGCCGAGAGGTGCTTTAATTTTCGTTCGCAAACCTTATTACAACAAAATCCAGAAAAGCGTGTTTCCAGGTTGTCAAGGAGGCCCTCACAATCACTCTATCGCAGCAATAGCTGCAGCAATGAAAGCTGCTGCCGAGCCAGAATTCAAGGAATATCAATCGAATGTTTTAAAAAACATGAAAGCAATGAACGATGAACTGATTAACAAAGGATATAGAATAACTTCTGGTGGCACGCAGAATCACCATTTGATTGTCGACTTATGTAATAAAAACATCGATGGTAAACAAGCATCAGTGCTCTTGAATGCAGCTGGAATAGTTTGCAACATGAACACTGTGCCACGCGATAAATCTCCCTTGAATCCGAGTGGAATTCGAATTGGATCAGCCGCAATGACCAGCAGAGGAATGACCCAAAAGGACTTTGTCAACGTAACTTGCTTGATTGATAAAATAATTTCTATTAAAAACAGCATATTTAGAAAAGATGCAAAGCTGGATGAAATACGCGAAAAATGCGCTAAATCTCCAGAACTAACAGCAATCAAAGAGTTTGTTCAGTCTTACGCTCAACAATTCCCCGTCGTTGACACCGATAAACTTTCCAGTTCTTAATCAAAACGCTTAGAATTACCTAATTCTATTTAAATATATAATATTATTTCATTATAATGAAAATCATTAGTACACCGCTTGGATTTTTTTATTTTTATTTCAATTCAACATATTTCATGGCCGAACAAAACCTAAGTTTTTAATCATAGACTTAGTGGTGTTGCTTTTTAATTAATTAGATGACTTTCCAGTGGCAAGCGATATTATGTCTAATAATAAAGATCAAGAACTGAAGGGATTTTTGTTTGACAGCTTTTTAGAATTCTTGGTAAGTGTGTGACTTGTTAAATTTTGTTAGAAAAGTGAAGAAGGCGAGCAGCTAGTTGAAGAAATTGCGAATATTAATAATGTACTTCTAGCAGACGACGATTTATCGACGAAATGTGACGGATCAGGTGACTGTAGCGCAGTTAACGCTAAAAAAAATCTATACCAATACGATGTTTCATCAGTCAATGAATACGCAAACACCGAGAAAGATGCTTTTTTTTTAAAAGAGCCAAATTCTTCTGATTCAATTGAATCAAACTTGATCATGAATTCTAAACATCAAATTAGATCTCAAATTTCAACTATAATAGATTTTTCTCCAATGAATGAATACAACTCTTCGTGCAAAGAAAATACGAACTTCAATCAATCATACGAACTAAAAGACCAAAATTGCATGAAAATAACAGATAACAGTAAAAACACCGACGATGGCTTGAAACCCGTTTTTGCTAAAACCGGTTTTCTTCAAAACAACTGGTCGTCAAAAATAGAAATGACTAAGACTACAAATAAATCCTGTTATGCAGAAGCCATCAGCCGAGTCAACAAGCTTAAAAATGCTGTATTCGCCGTGAATTGCTGGCAACCTGATTGGGTTCAAGATCTTTACATTCCCTCTGACGCTGATATCATGCAGACAGTTGAGATTATAGAAAGCATTTATAATCAAGATATTCCAAATAACTTTGCTTTCTTCGAAGAAATAATCGTTGAAAACATTTTCAAAGTGTCAAAGTACATTTCAAAATCCATAATGAATCGTATAAATGACTTTGACGATTTAAAAAATAAAGAAGTCGGCAAACTCAAATCATCGAACGCTTGTGTTGATAAAGATAAATTAATTGCTTTTATCAAAACATATAGACTCAGCGGTAATTCGCCTTTTTGGAATTTATTCCAGCTTTTCAAAAAGGCATCAGACTTACCCAAAGACACAACCATGAACACTCAGCTTTTGCTGAATCAAACAAAATGCAGTCTTGAAGAGATATCGAGGTTTGTCAACGAATTCATTACTCGAAATCCTTTTTGCAAACTTCATACCACCGATAAATTACTAATATGGGAGATCTCACAAGCGCTCACGTATGTTGCAGCGCTTCGAATGTCTTGCCAATCGACAGAGATCTCTTATAGTCAGATGCTCAAAACACCAATTGTTAATATCTTTCCGCTGATTAAAACAGATAATATCGAGCTTTTGAAAAACTCTTGCATGAGTTTAGTTGAACAGGCGTTTGTCATTCAGTGGTATTTCGACTCAATTGCATCAAAAACCAATGACGAATATTCTTTCAATCTTAGCATTGAGTTATATCAGCTCACCCACTATGACGACGCGTCGATTCTTAGCAACGTGTGGCATCGCATCATTACAAATAAATTCTCAAAACTGCTTAACTTGAACGGACACGCCCTTATGAAAGAGCTTGCATGTATAATCTATTATGACATTGATAAATGGAACAGTTTGAGTCTCGAGTTTTGGTTCAACGTGCTTGACTTGAATGCCGACGGAGTACTTGACGCCCGTGATATTGACGTCTTTTTTGCAGCCCAAACCAAAGAAGTAATTTCCAGGGGTGCTAATATGAGAACATATCAAAGTTTTTACTGCGAGCTTTGGGATATGTTTAACATAAACAAAGAACCATTGTGTCTCAAATTGTCAGATTTGAAAAAACAACCTATAAACGCAGTTTATTTTTTTAACATACTAACCAAGTAAGTTTTACTGCAAAATATTTTATAGCACGAAGAAATATATCATGTCTGAACTAGGCGAATCAGCGTTCCAATATGAACCCACTGGAAATTCATTTCAATCCAACATATGGGAAATGTTTTGTAAGGTTAAACATTTAGAACTAGTTTCCAGGCCTTACTATAGTAACAATTTTTAAAGTGCCGATAATTCAAATTAACCAATATGCGTATAAATTACACTCTAAAAACAGTTACAAAAGACAAAAATGCAATAATTAAACTAACGATATAAACTAATAGTTATGGAAAAGTCTTCAAAGTTCAAAGCCGTTGAGGCCAAACTTGTAACATTTTTGTTTTTATGGTGTTTAAGTTCGATTTCGACATCTCGGCGAAGTGCGTTGACAAGCTCGTTTCTTAAGGCTGCTAAAAATTCATAATTCTTTTGTCCTTCAATCTCGACGACCGTCTTAACTTGGTCTTCAATTGAAAGATTGCCATCTTTGCGTAACTTTTGAATTGCTGACACTATTTCTCGCAAAAGATTCATTTTTACGAGTTCTTCTGACTGTGTAAAGTCGAAAATAGCGATCAACTCATCGTTACAGATATAACTATTTTCTGAAACCAACGGAATGTTTTTGGGGTGCTTATTTATGGTGACATCTTCCTCTGTCAAGACGTATGTTTCGCCGTTATACTCGATTTCTAACGTTTTCTCGGTTAAATATTGGTCGATATCATCTTGACTGAGCTCGCTAATGACTTTTTCAATGCCTTTGAAGTTAGTACCTAGCTTTTTTCCTAAAACACGTTGCACAGGCTGAAGAGAGTAAATCAAATCAACTTTTTTCAACAGTTTTATTTCCAAATTGAAGGCGTTAAGTTCTGATTTGATGTATGAACTAAAAGCTTGAAGCTGGTCGAATTTTTCTACGGTTGGCAAATACAAAACTAGCGATTTAGCACAAGCTTTTACAGGAATTCGTGCTTTATCACGAATTGATCTACACGTTTCAATCGTAGATACGAATAATTCAATAGCATCGGCACCGGTGAACTCAAGCCACGTAAATATTTCTTTGGGCAATTGACAGAAATGAACAGAGTCTTCCATAAATCCAGTTTTTTCATTCAACTTGACTTTCAGAATTTGAAAGGTATACTCGCTGAAGAAGGGCGAGAATGGACTCATCAGCAAAGTGACGTAAAATATCACATAAAATAGTATATTAAGAGACAACAAAGCTTGTTTTATATCTATTTTTCCGCGCATTCGATCTCTGTTGAAGCGAACGTACCAGTTGGTTAATTCTTCAAAAAATTTTGTTAGTTTCGAGCAAGCATTATATAAATTGTAAGCTTTCATTTCTTTATGAGTAAACTCGTACAAACGCTTAGTCTTGTCTAAGATCCATTTGTCAAAAAGGTTCATTTCAGATACTTTGTCGTTTATCTCAATAACTTTCCAGTCGTTGTTGAACTGAAGCTTGAATCTGTTGGTTTCTTGTATCAAGAATCGCATGGCGTGGTACCACGGAAAGTATATTTGTTTTATTATGTCGGAAATTGCGCTTTCACTAAACTTAACAGATTCTGCTTTTAAAGCTGGGCTGTTCAGTAAAAAGAGCCGGGTTGGATCTGCGCCAAGTCTCTCAAAGAGCTCATTGGGCGGGCTGTAATTTCTGAGTCGTTTACTCATCTTTTTACCGTTTTCAGCTAAAACCAAACCGTTTACTATCAGGTTTTGAAAGGGAGACTTTTCAAACAAGGCGGCCCCAATGATAGATAGTGTGTAGAACCAACCACGAGTTTGGTCTAACCCTTCGCCAATGAAATCAGCTGGGAAAGTCTTCTTGAAAAGTTCTTGATTCTCAAACGGGTAGTGACATTGTGCGTAGGGCATTGAACCACTTTCGAACCAACAGTCAAATACTTCTTCAATTCGTTTTAGTGGCGGATATTCGTCTCCTCTGGGATCCTTTATGGTGATTTCATCAATAAAGTGTCTGTGAATGTCAGTTATTTTTTTGTTAGTATGTTTTTGCAGCTCTTCGACGGAGGAAATAACGACCTTGATTTTTTTGTCCTGACTGATCCACAGGGGAATCGGAGTTCCCCAGAAACGGTTTCTGCTGATGCACCAATCTTTGGCGTCACTAATCCAGTTATGAAATCGCTTGTCCTGGATGTTTTTAGGAACCCAGTGAGTTTGGCCGTTGTTGAGGATCATAGTGTCTCGAACTTTAGCCACGTCCACAAACCACGAAGATACCGCTTTGTACATTAGTACAGAATCAGACCTCCAACAGTGTGGACACGAGTGGACAATGCTTTCATTGAGAATTAATCTATTTAGTTTCTTAATTATGTTCTTTATGGTTTTGTTTGTGTCTCTAAAATACATTCCAAACATTTCATCGGTGATCGGAGCTGTAAAGCAACCGCTTTCGTCGACGTGGCATGGCGAAGCTTCACCTTTCTTTGTGACGCCTTTTAGCAAACATACGCGTGCATCATCTTCTCCAAACGCAGGGGCGTTGTGGACTATACCAGTACCGGCGGTGTCTGTGACGTAAGAATCCACAATGACCTTTCCTATCCTGTTTTTCCACTGTTCCGAGCTAGAAAAATAATCAAACAACATCTCGTAATACAATCCTTCAAACTCGATTCCTTTTACACCACTTACAAGAACCTCAGCTACAGACGGAATGATTGCATCTTTTTCGTTCTTCTTTACTAATCTCAGATCTTTCAAAAACTTGTTCACAAGCGAACCTAAAATCCAGAACATTCTGTTTTCAAATGGCCCTGATTTTATTAGCACGAGAGAGTAGTCAAATTCTGGATTCAAGCATAAAGCTACGTTAGCTGGCAAAGTCCAAGGCGTAGTGGTCCATGCAATCAACTCAGTTTCAGTTAGATTGACATTCGAAAGTTGTAACTTTGAATTCAAGTTCATGAATGCCGGACTAATCTTCGGTTCAATTCGGAAAGCAACGGTGATTGCAGGGTCTGAGATATCCTTGTAGTTTTGGGAGGCTTCAAAGTTGCTAAGAGGCGTACAACATACCGTGGAATACGGCATGACTTTGTAGTCTGTGTAAACGAGGTTCTTATCATATAGCTGCTTAAACACCCACCAGACGCTTTCCATGAAAGACATATCCAGTGTTTTATAGTCGTTTTCAAAATCAATCCATCTTCCCATTCGCTTGACAGTTTTGACCCATTCGCTACGGTACCGCATGACAATGGATCTACATTGTTCATTGTAGTTGGCGATACCTATCTTGTTAATGATGTCCAGTCGGTTTTTTATTTCTAATTGTTTGTCGATTTCGTATTCCACCGGTAAACCGTGACAATCCCAGCCAAACTTTCGCGGAACAAAATGCCCTGTTTGACTTGCGTATCGAGTCATAGTGTCTTTGATGATTCCGGCCAAGATGTGACCGTAGTGTGGCAACCCTGTGGCAAAAGGAGGCCCGTCAAAGAACACATATCGAGGATAGTCCTTCGTTTTTTCTAACTGCTGCTCAAAAGCAGAAATTTCACCCCAATATCTCAAAACTTCATTTTCAATTTCGGGGATGTTTATCGTGTCACTCACTGCATAATAAATGAAAACTCAAATACTTACACAACTTAAATTCAGTCATTTATTTAAAACACACAAAAATAGCTCACAGCACAAAACTTTCGTACTGCCTGGTTTTAACGATTTCAAATTATAATTTATCAAATAATAAAAAATGCTTTACCAGCAATTAACGAGTCGCTTTCGTCCTCGATAATAAATTTTAATAGATTCTTTATATGCATCACGCCGACAATATTCAAAGCGACGTTTCACATTCTGACTAAGTTTTTTAGTTGATTAATTGGCCGTGAATTTATTGATTATTTGTGTAAACCAAGTTGGTTTTTCCATAATTTCAGAAGCCTTCTTCTGTGATTGTGTTTTGTAAAATTTTTTCATAGCGTGTAAATGCGCTCGTGACAAAGTCTCCCGGTGGAAAATTTGATCTGCAGGGAATTGTTCTTCATTTTCTGTATACGCCACGGCGTGCATGGCAACGCACTTGCTTTTTCCGACGCTAGTCTCGACTTCACGTTCGTAAAACTCGTAGTCCACCGGGTACAGCTTGGTCGCCTGATAAATATCGAAAGGCCACGTTGTTTTTCGCTGTGTAAGCGTATCTCCTCTTTTCAGAATGGCAGAATATTCTTTTGTTAAGCCGTCGATCGTGAAGTCTTCATTACTGTTTTCCTTGTTGTTATTATTGAATTCTGAATTTTGATTTATCACTGAACTTCTCAATTTTAGATTGTTATCATTAAAATTGATGTTGTCGATCAAACTTCCAGCTGTTTGCTAAAAAAATTTGCAGATTGCTCAACTTACTAGCTTATTGTCGCTCATCGTCACTATGTTTTCTTTAAAATGAACGTGCAGGTGTCAGTGCATGTTGCTAACAAATAATTTCACATGTACCGCTGGAGAAAGTTTTTCGATCTTTTGAAGGGGAGGCGGCAATTACAATGCATGACTGGATATAGCATTTGTCAAATTTAAAAGTTTTTGCCTCGTGTACCACAAAAATGTTATAAGTTTCCCAAAATTTATTTACTATTTAAGTTCATATACAAATAATTAGGTATAAACGCTAAGCTTTTAGATCTGAATTTGTTCAGCGAATCTTACGTGTTTGCTTTTCTGTGGGTTGAAAAAGCCTTGAGGTTTTCCTTTGTTGCTTCGAATGATAGACGCGGGTTTGAACTCCGTGCTCGGTGGCGAGGGAATCATTGGTTCGGCTTTCGATTTCATTTGAATTAGGTCTTTGAAAGAGCTGAACTTGTCCATGAAAGAGTCAATCATTTTCTTGGGAATTGTCTGAACAACTTCCTCCTTCGTTTTCTCTTCAGATTTAGTTTCAACACTGTCCTGCGACTTCTCCTCAGCTTGGCTTAGAGGCACCAACGCTGAAGGTGAAAACTTTCTGCTGCTGCGCCATCCTACCTTGCTTTCGGTTTTTTCTCTGAAAGAATCAGCTTCGTTTTTTTCTTCAGACTCAGAGTTCAAGCTATAGCTACTCAACTCTCGAGTCAGCTTATTGTATTCTTCGGTTTTGATCTCGTTCAAGACATTTTGAATTTTGTTTAAAAGAGATAAAGTCGACCAGTCTGCATTGTTTTTGCTTTCATCGATCATACGAAAGAAGGGAGCCAAAATTCTACACTTTTTATTGTAAACATTGTTTGCGTTCTGGATGCATTGCGCAAGCGCGTAGCGATTCAAGTCCTCGGCTCGGAAATAAGCCTCAGGAGAGCTTTTTTCAGCAGTGGTCAAAACGGTCTGTTTTTGCATGTCAAAACTATTTCAGCACCAAACGGCCCCGCATGCAAGTGGCAAGTCAACTAAAATTCTTAGACTTGATTTTAAAAAAATTAAACTCTTCCAACACGTTTTGCGGGACACACGGCATGACGTCGTCCGAATAAGAATTTGTGATCAAACGTACAGCATTTTCAATATCGATAACTTCCACTTCTCGACTGAAAGCCATTTGTCTAGCTTCTACCAATCGCTGTTCTTTGACTTTTTCGATCTCTTTGTGATTAACTTGAGGCATCGAGCTGATTATGCTTTGAAAGACGTTATTAGCAAACTGCGTCGGCTCTTGTATAGTACTAGCCGCTTTAGTTTTCAAGCACTCGCCTGTTGATGAGTCTGAAGGTTTCTCATCAGCTTCGTAATTGAATTCAGATCTAATGTCGGCCGCAGCTTCATTTTTAGAGGTCTTCACATGGGCCTGTCTCATCGCGTCGATCGCTTCAAACTTGGCCAACGTGCGAATCAACTTTTCGTTGTCCAGGTCGATCTCCTCTGGCATTGAGTTATCGTAAATTCTTACTCGTAAGTAAGATAAATACGTCGAAATTTTCCAAATTTTTTCCACTAGCAACGGCACATGTTTCACGGTTTGATTATTCACAAACTGCAACTGTTCGTCTGTAAGCTTCATTTTATAAAGCTTTAAAATTTGTAGAATGTGATCTTTCAAAAAACTCTCTAAGCTTGGAGCTAGTGGTGGTACACTTTCTAACATCTGTGAACTGTTTATGTGAGGCCTCTTGTTTTCGATAACATATCCCAAACTCACTCTATCAGTATTCAACATACGCTTTTTAAGTGTTCTTTCGTCCAACTCATATCCGTCCATGAAAAATAATTGGTGGTCTTTCCATATACGTTTGCACAGCTTTATCTACAAGTTTTACAAAAGCAAAAATAAACGCATTAAAAAAAATATAGGTCAATTATCCAAACCATCAATATCCGTTAGCGATGAATAAGCAGTCAAGCTAACGACGTTTTAAGTCTTTTGAACGGATACTGAGAATTAAAAAAGCATGCACGTAGCGAGAAATTTATTTCACCTACATTGCAGGCATCCATAAACATGTTTAACTAAACCCTCTTTTTAATAAACTAACATGCATAGTTTTTCAAACATATAACATGCATAATTGACGAATGAAACTTAGTACAGCACGAAATAGCTGTACGAATAACTCATTGCCAAGTTCACCCAGGATTCCCGGCAACGCTCAAACAGACTATAAGGTAGCTTTTTTAACATCTTGCAACAACTTATGTCTCAAAAACATCAAGCCTGACTGGTATTCGCACTTTTTAACGCTCTGGTTAACCATAGGTAAGTCCATTTTTCAGCTACTTTTGTAGGGGCACGATACTATCTGCCATCCAATAAGAAAACAAAATTTGCACAGCTTATTCCAAAGTTTATAATATACGACGAAACCAACAAAATCTATAACATCAAATTTTTGAAGTATTTGCAAGATTATGTCTCACAGCCAAGTCACATGGGCGAGCTTTTACTCCAAATCAAATCGCGGCTCAACTTTAAAAACCTCAATCTAGATAGAAACGAGTCCCAGCAAAAATGCTCTATGATTCCCCTTGACTTTTTCATTAAAATTTTCTGCAGTTCGTTTGACAAACAGTATAAAGACTCGCCTTGCATAAACATCGAAAGCGTTGAGTATTTGACTTTGTACAAGAAAGTTTTGAGTAAATCCGCATATTGTCAAGGGAATCATTTTCCCCACGGATACTTCACACAAGAGCTGCCTAAAGGTGTCAAAAACAGCGTTCAGTCAAACGGAACAAGTACGTATTTTTTGCACAACAAGACCTATTGGAAAGACATTCAAACTCTATCTGATTCAATCCTGCCTCCACTTCAGCTGGAACTTGACACATCGACTAAAATCATGCAGCAACTCGAGTGGTGTATTGTGCTATTCAACGAGAAAATGGCTGTGGTTGATATATTAGACCTAGCAGACTACATTTTCACACCCACATGTAACGCCTTTGGGCCGACTATTACAGTTTATATCCGTAACATGAGAGAAAAGTTACCTAAAAAATACTCGATTTCGAATCTTTACTTAGATTTGAATGATCACAACAACGCTCCGTATACCAAAGCACTGTATGAATTCCAGCTGCCATGTAACGCCACTCACGCGTCGTCCTGGCTACTCACTTTCTACCTTTGCGGAGGAAAGTACGTGTCGTTTAACCAAACGTTCAAAAAAATCAGTAAGTTAGGTAAAGGTTCGTTTAGTAATATCTTTCTATACGCCAATAAAATAACTGGCGAATTGGTTGTGTTGAAATGTGTCGAAAAACATTGCCTTGTAAAAGCCAACGCCTTTATGGAAATCCACATGCTAAAACTAGCGACCCACGGCTCGACTATCAAGCTGTTCGAATGTTTCTCGAATTCGAGCACGATTGTACTTGCAACAGAGTACATCAAAGGCGGCAGCATGTACAAATACGTTAAATCTTACAACCGGTTCAGCGAAAAACTGACTTTTATATCAATTTACAAACTACTTAAAACTATAAACAGTCTACATTCACGAGGAATTTTGCATCGCGACTTAAAAAGTGAGAACATCTTGCTTCGAGATCCAGACGACATGAGCTCTCTTGTCTTGATCGATTTCGGGCTTTCTACGACATTAGGCTCAAAAGAGATGCAAATGCGTTGTGGTTCTCCAGGCTTTGTGGCGCCAGAACTGTTTGAGTCAAATGTTTCGTACGGACTGAAGTCCGACGTTTTTAGCATTGGAGTGATCATGTATGTCATGCTCACAGGCACTGAGCCTTTTGTAAGTGACAATAATGAAAAAGTACTGAAGAAAAATTCCAGATGCGAAGTAATGTTTAACCATCCAGCTCTACTTTCTTGCTCAGAGGAATGTAGAAGTTTACTGGGTTGGCTGCTTCAAAAAAACCCTGCTGATCGGTGCACATCATCGCAAGCTATACTTCACCCTTGGTTTACAAATCAGCCCCTGTTACCAGGCCCTAGTATTACGAGCAACAACCCTATATTTTTGTCAAGAATTCCCACCACACAGATCTTTAATAAATCTGTCACCGTCAATGCTTTTTCTTCGCAGCATGAATCGTCTTATCAACAAAACAAGCGAGATCGTGTTCTATCTGTATACCAATAGTTATTTGATCTCACTATGTTTCACAACGATACCCAGTTAATATACACATTAATATTTGTAGAAACCAGTAAAGCTAAAGCAAATTCCTAACTTCTTCTTCAAGACGTCTTAATTCAAAGTTTAAATGCGCTTCTGAATTGGGCGCGGCAGAAACTGTAAAATTGCTAGCGTTACTTGCATTTTCGTTTATTTTTTTAGGTAGATCATTTTCTAAATCTTTTAAATTTTGAGTCATTAAAGCGTCAAAGCTATAGTTTAATGGGTAGTTTGTATATTCTAGCCAACCATATGCTTGCGCGGGGTCAAGCTCAGCCAACTTCGTATTTAAATCTGCATAATCTTTGATAAACTGTTCTACCGAAAATACTTCAAGCTCGTTGATATTTATATCCAGCAGTTTCAATTCTTTGTTATGAAACGCTTTGAAATATTTGTCGAAGGATACACGCTCGAAAGCGTGTCGATTTTTGTTTAATATCTTTTCAAACCAGGATTTGAACTTGTTCATTTCCGGGTCGAGTATTGTTGATACCCGTGCAGATCTGCCAAAACCTTGACAATAATATTTACTATCTCGGAGTTGAATGGCAGTTAAAGGTGGACAAAAAATCAAAGTAAGTAAAAATAAAGTGCGTAACAGTTCTTCAAAGTTTTTAAGATCAGAGTTTTGTTGTTTCAATTCTTCTTCAAACAAGTAAATACAGTAAAAAGCAGACGAAAGAGATTCCAAAAATCTTAAATAGTTCAGACGACAAGGCCACTCAACGAATTTGGTTACTAACTTTTTATAGTCGCTTTGTAACACTGGAAGATTTAGTATTATTTTCTTTACAATACGAATTAGCAACTTGGGATAAAATCTGCGTACACCGTCGAAAGTTAAATCGTTTTTATAAAGTACACAATGAATTATTCCATCAATAAAATATCTACCAGTTCGTAAATTTACAAGTCTCAAAAAGTAGACGCCCATCAGCTCGTTGAGCGTCGAAAGGACGACCCCACTCTCATCAAAATCAACCCATTTTTCGTGAAAATTCATAATATGGCCGATTGTCACAAATAAACTCGTAAATTGACTAGGACAAATCCATTGAATAAAATTTTCATTTTTAACGACCAGTAAAATTATACTTAACAAAACCATGCTGGTATTAAAATGCTTTTTGCACAACTGCTCAAAAAACACTTTATCTAGCTTTATTCTGCAGGACATCAGTACATATACGATAAACAGATTGAAGTTTTCGTTATTTTTTTCGCATTTAAGTAGATGTTCCAAACTAGTACCAATAGCAGTAACATCATCTATCTCACAAGTCAATAGTTGAGTACAACAAGATAATATTTCAATTATTGATTTTCTAGATTGTGATAAACTAAATAGCAAACTTAAGTTGTTTTTCATCATTTCCTCGCAAAGGTTAGTTTGTTTACAGTTTAGTGCTAAATTGTAAGTAAACAAGGAAGATTTTGTTTTGAGACTCTTATAGAAATTTTTCGTCGCGTCAAGTTTTTCTTCAATCATTTTAGAAGTCGAAAGGAGTAAACCTTCGCTAGAAAATGAACAAGTTGAATCTGATAAAAAGCAGTTTTCAAGAACTTTATTCGATACTTGCTTATTTTCTACTTTTTCTTCACTTTTTATAGAAGCAGCATTATCAATGTGAGTCGCTTCGTGGTCTATATTCAGGTTAAAAGAATTAGTTTTAGTTTTTCGATCATTACTATTTATGGGACTAGATACTTTGGAAGGTGAGCAAGCTTCACTTCGAGTAACATTTACATCGCCATTAGCCTTTTTATTATTGTTTGTGTTTAAAATGTGGATGAATTTGTTAGCCAAGTCAGGTTTGATTTGTTTAAGTTGCGTTATAAATGCGTTTTTCTTATGAAGCGCTATGAATTCGTAGCAATAACTTACAATCAACGACAAATCTAAATCATGAAACTTATCACCTTCTTTAGCGATGATATTCGATACAGAAATGCCTAAATCATATAAGTCTTCCGAACGAATATCTACTTGAGTCTCAAATACATAAAGTAAGCTTTGTACATAAAAGCT